ATATAATTAACTAAATGAACATCTTTTAAAATTTTAATAAAAATTTCATGGTTTTTATCACAATTTTTGTTGTTTTTATTTTTGTTTTGTCGATAATTTGACAAATATTACATTCCTCGCCGAAAGGCATTTTTCGTATATAGAAAAAATTATATTAGGATTAGTGTGCATAGCTGAGTAAATGTTATTGCTTTATTTACTTATATTGGATTCATTGTCAAATACAATACAAGTTGATATTCAAAGAACTTAGTGTGAAAATAGTTCAACCTAATTAATGGATTAAAATAATTCAAAATTAAACCTTCAGGTGCACGTATTAAACAATAATATAGGGTTACCTTAGGGTTATGGCAATTGTAGGTTCCATTAGGGTTACGTAATGTGTGGGTTACATTAGGATTATGGAATGTGTAGGTTACATTAAGATTATGGTAATTGTATGTTATATTAAGATAAGTATAGAAGAATGATTATACTAGATTGTAGGTAGAGTTCATTCACCGGCTTATCATATAATAACACATGGAATAATGGTTTAAGACCATTCATTTTCAGTATAGCAATTTTTTTTTTTTATTTTTTTCAGTATAGCATTGCCTAAAAGAACAAGTGTCAAAACAGGACACAAAGAAGGCCATGTTTTTCGCTTCCGTTGCATCTCTTGATGTGCTCAATTCTATACTAGCATAGCATTGTGATTTAGGGAAAGGAGATTAAAAATAAAATTAAAATTAAAAATAAAATTATTCGGATCCTATATGCTATTACAGATTTTAAAAATTAAACTTAATCAACCCAAGATATATATATTTTAAAATTGTTTTGGAAGGAACTCCTATGCGACATTGGAGAGAAAGAAGAAAAAAAAACTTTAATCAATTACCCTTTCTTTCATCTTCCTTTCTCCTAAATTGGATTTTTTTTTTTTTTTTTTAATAAGACAATGTGCTTTAGGAAAAGTGGTTTGGTTGCCTAGAAGATTTTAAAACAAAAAAAATTATATCTGGCTCATATGCTCTATTGGAGATAAATAAACAAAATATAGAAAATTTTCATATTTTGGTAGTGAATTGGTTTAGTGTTACTTTTGATTTAGACCTAAACCAAAATTATTGAAAGATCATATAATTTATTATACCACAATTCGTTTGTTTCACGAATATATATTTCATTTAAGAACATGTTGTTTAATTTTGAAAATTGAATTAATGTATATATGACTTGTTTATGATTTCCATTAACGACATTATGTAAAATGAACATATTGAAATTGATGTTATTATTTTTCTTTTACAAAACCAAATGATATGGATGTCACTAACTCAAAATTATCCTGGCAAGTAAACATAGGAAACCCAACGCGATTTGAGCCTTCGGGATTTTTCTCTACTTTGATTTTTGTGGTATATTGTTCATGTTGAAAATTTTGTGACTCACTGTAAAAATAAACTGCTTTTGCAATGAGTCACAAAATTTTGAAAATATCGTTCATGCTTAGATACCAATTCTTTTTTCTTTTCTTCTTTTGAAATACAACGATTACAAATTACAATATGGGGAGGGGGCTCAAAGACAACCTGGGATTTCGATTCTAGGTGCTAAGCAAGGGGAGAAAAGAGGAGAAAAGTGGAGAAAAGCATATATGTACTATATGCTCAACACTCTCGAGAGTGAATACATTTAAACAAAATAGTTGATAAGCCTCCATTTTGTAAGAGTTGTTGACGTGTTAATTAAAGAATCTTGCACGAGAAAAATGACTGGAAATGACTCTCTCTCTCTCTCTCTCTCTCTCTCTCTCTCTCTCTGATAGTTTTTTTAAGCATGCTTGTTTAGTGAGGGTTGGAATATATAGCATGGTACGTAGTGCATGAATGCAATGCAAAAGCACAGAATAAATATCGCTTGGAGGGCCCTTAATTTGTTGCCAATTATACATGCTGATTTATATTCGAGCCTTAAACATATCGAATAAGTAGGAACATTTCACTAAGTTGTCGTGTACGAATCCATAAACGATGAGATTTATATGAATATGACATGCTAGCTAGCAGCCCTAAGTACGTACATACAGCTATAAGCCAACCACATTTAAGTCCACCTATATCTCTATGATATATATTCTCAAGAGTACATATAGGGATGGAATGAAACTACGTAGAAAAGATTGTTTGACAGAATCTCATACATCTTTTGTGTATATATATATATAATTTAAGGTTTCAACCTTAATTAGCTAGATAGGTTTAGGTTTAGGTTTAGGTTTTGCAATATATAATTTTCCATTTAACCATCAAGTTGACTAATTTTGTCTCCATCAACTTTCCTAATTTGATCACAAACCCACCAATAACAATTATATTCAAATCTTGGGTAATCTAATTTTTCTTGATGATCTCGATTTGCGATATATACAGCAGCCGTAAAGATTATGCATTGCATGCCATTGGGTGGGAAGAACAAGACTACTTTTTTGCATTATTGGTGGATATGGTTTTCAACTGGACTGTTTTGTACCAAAGGGATAAGCCAATTTAGAATGGATTCCATATCCCAATTCCCGAACGACAGATTTATATCGAAATTAATTATAAGGACGATACCTCTCATGTTTCTTTCCTTATATATTCTTTATTGGACCATTCCACAATCTAGATTTGTCTCTAATATATTATGCAAAGCAGCCAACTGCCAAGGAATGTGTGTGTATATATATATATATATATATATATATATATATATATATATAAGCCGCCATTCAACTAATCAAGACAAAACAACCCTAAGGAATTGTGACACCTTTTGATATAGGATTTTAGATACAAATGAATAAATTATTATATGTGATAGTAGTCCACATCTTACTTTACTGAAAAAATAATAATTTGGCATCGTACATCATATATAATGTGTTCTTCCTTTGTTGTAGACGAATTTTAGTTCAGTCTGACACGTGTGTATAAAAAGTTTCTTACTTTTAATGAGTCATTTCTGTGTATTACATGTTGACATCCCATATCTTGTACATCATTAGCTAGCTTAGTTTGGTTCTGCTTGATATTGAAGGATTTATTTTGATTTGTTGTAGTTTCTTTGTATTCTCGTGTCAACATCATCTATAGTACTATATGATATTTGGAAGCTTGGCCTGTGCAATATTATAGTGCCTGCACCAGCATGAAGCAAAAAAGAAAATGGAAGCTATATATATAAAGAGAGTAGAAGTATATAAAAGGATTAACCTTTGGCTTTAGCTGGTTAGTTTATGTAGCTTTATTTACCTTCAACAAGAAGCTAATACAGTGATGATGAGAAGCATTTGATTCGCTTCCAACAAGAATTTTTAGTGTTTCTATTGTTCTCCTATTAGATTCATATAGAATGGATAAGACAAAATGTGCGAAATGCGAATGCCTTTGGCCTTGTGGAGAGAGAGAGAGAGAGAGAGAGAGAGAGAGAGAGAGGCCTGCTCTATATATATATATTTATATTCTCCCTAATCAAAACCACCTCTTGCAAAGAACCAGCTTCTATATGTGTGCAGTCTATTCAGAGTTCATGTTCATGGACAATCATGTTATAAAATCCTTCTTCTATATATATAGATATATATATATATATATATTCCCAAAGGATCGTGTGCTGAAATTCGAAGGGAAAGGTTGCAGGATATTTAACCTATTAAATTAGCAAGAGTCCCCAACTAAAGAGTGGTTCAAGTTATCAAAGCATAATTTTGTGGACCCTGCCTGGCCGGAATTTTAAAGTACATAATAATATTATTGAATTGATCAACTCTGAACTCTATAGTTATGTTTTGGGAGTACTGGATTCTTCGAGGAGTCTTAATGGCAACTTTTTTATAAATTACAAAAAAATTTATCAAGGTAAACTTCAATAGTATAATGAAAGACATCAACATGATGTCTAAAGTACCAATCCGAATAGGGCAATAAACTAACATGTTAAAAACTAAACTAAAACGGACAAAAGCTGTATTAAAACTATTAGGCCACATCACCACAATTAACCATAAGTCCAAACAAAATTCACAAACCCAACATGACCGAAACCTTAAAGCAACCAAAAAGGAGACATATTAAATCAACAGAAAGAAAGAGAATACAAGGGACGAAAGGCCATTCCATTAACAGTACAATGGACATGGATAAAACCTTCACCAGTGTTGTTAATTTGGATCATATACATTCATAATATCTGATTAGCATAAAAACATTTCCCAAAATATTATATCAATACTAATTAATTGAACATACACAAATGTTCCCTTGGGGTAATTATTTTTGTTATAATCCACATTATGGTATTATACTTTTCAATTATGAAAAAGTAAGGTATGCGACCGGACTGTTAATTACGGTTAACAGAGTTTTACCAACTTTAAATATGAGTTATGACAGCTTCAATTCCGAGTTCAAATGCCCAAAAAATTTCCAGTTCAATGAGTGACTGGTTCTTGTTTTCACTTGACTTTAACCTTTGAATCTATCTTTTTGTACACAATTAAAGAATTCATTTTGAATTTCATTTTAAACTTCAAATCAATCATACTGTAGTGTTGTTTCGCGTGACAAGAATATATGTTTAACCACCTAATTACAAACCCTACGTTATTCGTTTGCTCTCTTTAATTATAAATAATCCAATTCCAATCAGCTCACTCCACCGGGATGGCCCCACGTTTAGATGTAAATCCATTATATATTAGTTTTATTCTACCTATATATGCCCTTTTATGGAGATTATGGACCAAGAGACATGGAGATTTGATGTCACAGTGGGCAACCCCAATATCCCTTTTTAGGTTTTTGCTTTCATCCTGTTGTACGTAAGGGATGGTCTTTTGGCATCGTAGAGATGCATGAAAATACACAAACCAAAGCAAAGCAAAAGAAGAGTGTCGTATCGGGACCTTCTTAGTCAGTATAAAGCAAAGTTGTTCTCTCCCCATGTCACGTTCCAAACCAGCTAAGCCCCTCTCTCTCTTTCTTTCTTTCTCTCTTTCTCTCTCTCAACGTTCGAGAAAGTGCAACATAAACCCTCAATCCTATAAAGATAACCAACCACCCCAACCCCATGAAGTAAAAATTAAACTGCCCCCTCCGCCCAAAGAAAAAGAAACTCCTCCTCAAGTTCTCCCTCCTCTTACTTTCTTCTTTCCTTTACCTCTTGCATCTAGACACTCTATTATTTCACCACAATCATCAAGCAGTGATGATTTTTATCTCCTTCTTCTAATTCTCCCTTCATCCATGCATGCCCTAGCTACAAGGAATCTTTCTTATAGCTAGTATATATATTGGAATAAAGGGGAACAAAAAAAATTAATATGGCTAGTAATGGTGGTGTTTCTTGCTTTTTAAAGCTATTCTTCGGAACGCTTGCAGTGATGGGGTTTATTTGTGTTTTGTTAGTTGGTACCCTAGAAACTCAAGGAGGGTCGACTAAAACAGCAACCTCAAAGGCGGCAACGCCAGAGTCGTTTTCAGAAAAGCCTGCGGATGTGGTAGGAAGAGAGAACAAGCTTGTTCATCCTGAGTTGGATCTCAACTATATGAGCAAAAGAAGAGTTCCCAATGGACCAGATCCTATTCACAACAGGTTGGTTTTTGTATAGCTAGCATCGTTCTTCAATTATTCGTTGTAATTAATTAGTATATTTTTTTTATAGCTTTTTATGAGTTGTGATATAGGATTGAGTGCATATATACTCCGTCTCTCTCACATTTCTCTATCATGTAATAGAATGATTGTGAGAAGAGACGTAGTGGAGTACTACTTGACTTGCATGTAATAAAATAAGGGTAATTAGAACATGATTTTTTTTGTTCTCTTCGATCTTTCTTGTAAAATAACACTACAGAGATGCTAACTAAATTCTATATATTCTATCTTCTAAAAGAAACTTTCTTAGATAGACTTGTTCTAAATGATATATGTCATGTGTCCTTTATCCTTTTATTTTCTCGTCATAAAATTTGAATAACATATATTCTAACTATACATACATCTGTGAAGTCGACTCGACCGAGCATATGTACCCAAAAGAAAGAAAAAGATAACTGTTATGTGCTCTATGCTTTAACTGTTACATTGATTTGCTTCATCAGTAAAAGCACGAGTAGGTACAGTATTTAATCCCCATTTACTCACTCCAAGAAAAGAAAAAATAAAGTACACCACTTCACTTTATTCCATTCCTTAATGATGTTTAATAAAAGCTAATTAACATTTTCACTTGTTCTCTACATTTATATATAGATATGGTACCGACCTTCTACCTTTACATTGTGTCTTTTCTTTCCCCTCTCCTTTTTTTGCCTTTCCTTTGTTAGGAGTTGTATTAGTGAGAGCTGCTATGCTAATTACCTTATTAGGCTTTAATTATTCTCAATAATTTTTTCATGTATATGTAATAGGAGAGCCGGGAACTCGGGACGGCCCCCTGGTCAAGCTTAGCCATTAAAGTGCTTCAAGAAGCTTCAGAAGGAAGGCAGAAGAAGATGGTGCACAGGATGGAAATACATATGTCTGCCCTTGGGCTTGTGTATGTACGTGTTTTTTTAAGAAAAATATTTGGAAATCCCAGCTGTATGCATATGTGCAAGCTTCTTTTTCAGTGACAGAAACGGCTTTGGGAGGTGTTCGGGGAAATGAAGATTGTCACTCACACAAAATTACGTACGCTCTCAAAAGAATCTAGACAGAAAAAAAAAAAAAATTACTCTGCAACTTTTTTTTTTTTTTTGGTGAGTGTGTGAGAGAGAAAGAGAGAGAGACCAAATTCTTAGTAGATAGAGAGATATCAATGTCTTTGCATGTAAAAAAGCCAATTATATTTTTATATATGGAGCATAAAGGTTTGGCATGTACAAGATTCTCAAATATATATTAGTTTAATTTATCAAGAAAAAATTTAAAATTTAAATAGAGTTCCAAAAACTAAAGTGAATCCCACCAATTAAAGGTGAAAATAAAGGTGCTAATAATATTGCATCTTGTATATGTGTAAAGTCTTTTTTGACCTTTGATTCTTTGGTGAATTGCTGGGACGTACGTACTGTTTTGGTCTTTGGTCCATTCAAACTTAGTTGCATATCAGCAGAATCTTTTGGTCTCGTGGCCGAAACAGAAAACAAAAGAAAGGAAGAGAGATTAAAGGAAAGGAAAAAAAGAAGGAACTATACGGTCTTCAATCTCTTCAAAGTGAAGCTTTTTATCCTCCTTTCTCTTTTCTGTTTTGTTTTTCAAATGAGAAGCAAAGAGGCCAAAGACCGAGTCTAAAGGGAGATGGGTTCAAAATGGGGCAATTTCCAAAAAAGGAAAAAAAAGAAAAAAAAGAACTTGGAAGTGGTGCTTTTTCTAGCATGCGAGAGTAGTGAGACTAAGGTATAGCTTAAGAAGATGAGAATATCGCCAACTACCTCTTTATTTAGTGTAGGTATTTTTCAAAGTTGGAAGTAATCGCAAGTTCAAATTTGTCTTCTTCATTAATGAAAGAAATTAAAAGAAGGGAATGTCACATTAACTGGGTATTGCCATTGGTTTTCTTATTGTTTATTTTGTAGGGTCATTGAAATATAGGCCCTTATAACTCAAATACTCTAGACAATAATCCACTTATTTTATTACTTCTAAATATAATCCAAATTTGAATAGAATGCCAAAATGTTCATGTATTATGACTTATTTACAAATCATGCCATCAACCTCTTTTTGTTGCTGGATGTTTTTCCCTAAACAAATCCCTTAATTTTAGCATTTAAATCATTGGGGACTTTGGCTGGGCATTCAAATTCAACATTGTTTCAATTTGTTTTTGAGTGCTGCTAAATGTTTAAGCAAAATTCTCACGAGAGAATATTCGCGTATGATTCTTCTACTCTTTAAGTTTCTTTCTCTTTCTTCTTCCTTGGTTCTTGTAAAACAAATCTAGGTCAACGGACCACACCCGGAGGATGTTGGTCAAATGCCCTTCGATGCTTAAGTCAGTTAAATGATCTTGAGAAAGATGTGGAGATAACATAAATGTCTGAGTTTTCTCTCATGGGGAGAGTTGGGCGGCCTTAGCCGTGTGTGGTGACTGAAGTCGAGAGAGAGAGAGAGAGAGTGAGAGTGATTTCTCTAGGATTTCATAATTAGGGTTTAGCCATGTATTAATAGTCTCCTTACTTGGCTAGGTTTGAAGAATAATCCTTATTTAATTAGGATTATTCTTACCCAAAAAGGTGATAGGAATTAATCAAAAAGATTTGCTGGAAATTGGTTACTTGATTTAGGGAGATACTTCTATCTTAAATCAAAGATAATTTTCTAATTAAATAGGATTTAATTGGGGTAATTAGTTGACCAAAGGAATTTTTTTTCCACGTGTCATCTTCGTATTGGTTGCTGAAATTCTTGTGCATCAGTCGAACCAACAGTCTCTCAACTCTTCTCCTGATGGAGGACACTGGCATAACAATCAGGGCGGCTATAATGGCTCTTCCAACTGGCATAATGGCTCTTCCAACTGGAATAATAGGGGGCATCACAGTGGTGGCAATAGAAACTATAGAGGTGGTCAGAACAGAAACTACAATGGTGGAAGGTATAATAATAGATTCCATGGAGGACGGTTTAATAATCGAGGCAACTTTAATGGTGGTTACAATCCCTTTCAAGGCCACAATTCCAACTACAATGGTGCTGGATTTTATCATCAAGGAGGATATAACAGTGGTGGTTTTCCAGCTGGATACAATGCTCACGGAGGATATAACAGTGGCTTTCAAGGAGGATACAATGGTTCTGGTTTTCACAATCCTTGTCCCTCAAATGGTGGTAGAGGATATCAACTAGACAGCTATATTGTAGGCTACAACAGTTCTGCTCAGTCCTTTAATCCATCTGGATTCCCTCCTTCAGCACCACCACCTCCACAATACATTGTTCCCCCAAATCCTAGTCAAGGCATTCTTGGCTCTCCAACCACATCTGTCACCTCCCCTCTACAGGCTTGTCAATTGTGCAATGATCCTACACACACAGCAGCCTCTTGTCCCTAATTCCAACATGTGAAGAATCAAGCTCAAGCCTACACTGCATCATCCTCTTTTCAATTTGCTGATCCCAATGTTTGGTTGGCAGACAGTGAGGCTACACACCACGTTACCAATGACCTTGGTGCTATGCTAATTACCTTATTAGGCTTTAATTATTCTCAATAATTTTTTCATGTATATGTAATAGGAGAGCCGGGAACTCGGGACGGCCCCCTGGTCAAGCTTAGCCATTAAAGTGCTTCAAGAAGCTTCAGAAGGAAGGCAGAAGAAGATGGTGCACAGGATGGAAATACATATGTCTGCCCTTGGGCTTGTGTATGTACGTGTTTTTTTAAGAAAAATATTTGGAAATCCCAGCTGTATGCATATGTGCAAGCTTCTTTTTCAGTGACAGAAACGGCTTTGGGAGGTGTTCGGGGAAATGAAGATTGTCACTCACACAAAATTACGTACGCTCTCAAAAGAATCTAGACAGAAAAAAAAAAAAATTACTCTGCAACTTTTTTTTTTTTTTTGGTGAGTGTGTGAGAGAGAAAGAGAGAGAGACCAAATTCTTAGTAGATAGAGAGATATCAATGTCTTTGCATGTAAAAAAGCCAATTATATTTTTATATATGGAGCATAAAGGTTTGGCATGTACAAGATTCTCAAATATATATTAGTTTAATTTATCAAGAAAAAATTTAAAATTTAAATAGAGTTCCAAAAACTAAAGTGAATCCCACCAATTAAAGGTGAAAATAAAGGTGCTAATAATATTGCATCTTGTATATGTGTAAAGTCTTTTTTGACCTTTGATTCTTTGGTGAATTGCTGGGACGTACGTACTGTTTTGGTCTTTGGTCCATTCAAACTTAGTTGCATATCAGCAGAATCTTTTGGTCTCGTGGCCGAAACAGAAAACAAAAGAAAGGAAGAGAGATTAAAGGAAAGGAAAAAAAGAAGGAACTATACGGTCTTCAATCTCTTCAAAGTGAAGCTTTTTATCCTCCTTTCTCTTTTCTGTTTTGTTTTTCAAATGAGAAGCAAAGAGGCCAAAGACCGAGTCTAAAGGGAGATGGGTTCAAAATGGGGCAATTTCCAAAAAAGGAAAAAAAAGAAAAAAAAGAACTTGGAAGTGGTGCTTTTTCTAGCATGCGAGAGTAGTGAGACTAAGGTATAGCTTAAGAAGATGAGAATATCGCCAACTACCTCTTTATTTAGTGTAGGTATTTTTCAAAGTTGGAAGTAATCGCAAGTTCAAATTTGTCTTCTTCATTAATGAAAGAAATTAAAAGAAGGGAATGTCACATTAACTGGGTATTGCCATTGGTTTTCTTATTGTTTATTTTGTAGGGTCATTGAAATATAGGCCCTTATAACTCAAATACTCTAGACAATAATCCACTTATTTTATTACTTCTAAATATAATCCAAATTTGAATAGAATGCCAAAATGTTCATGTATTATGACTTATTTACAAATCATGCCATCAACCTCTTTTTGTTGCTGGATGTTTTTCCCTAAACAAATCCCTTAATTTTAGCATTTAAATCATTGGGGACTTTGGCTGGGCATTCAAATTCAACATTGTTTCAATTTGTTTTTGAGTGCTGCTAAATGTTTAAGCAAAATTCTCACGAGAGAATATTCGCGTATGATTCTTCTACTCTTTAAGTTTCTTTCTCTTTCTTCTTCCTTGGTTCTTGTAAAACAAATCTAGGTCAACGGACCACACCCGGAGGATGTTGGTCAAATGCCCTTCGATGCTTAAGTCAGTTAAATGATCTTGAGAAAGATGTGGAGATAACATAAATGTCTGAGTTTTCTCTCATGGGGAGAGTTGGGCGGCCTTAGCCGTGTGTGGTGACTGAAGTCGAGAGAGAGAGAGAGAGAGTGAGAGTGATTTCTCTAGGATTTCATAATTAGGGTTTAGCCATGTATTAATAGTCTCCTTACTTGGCTAGGTTTGAAGAATAATCCTTATTTAATTAGGATTATTCTTACCCAAAAAGGTGATAGGAATTAATCAAAAAGATTTGCTGGAAATTGGTTACTTGATTTAGGGAGATACTTCTATCTTAAATCAAAGATAATTTTCTAATTAAATAGGATTTAATTGGGGTAATTAGTTGACCAAAGGAATTTTTTTTCCACGTGTCATCTTCGTATTGGTTGCTGAAATTCTTGTGCATCAGTCGAACCAACAGTCTCTCAACTCTTCTCCTGATGGAGGACACTGGCATAACAATCAGGGCGGCTATAATGGCTCTTCCAACTGGCATAATGGCTCTTCCAACTGGAATAATAGGGGGCATCACAGTGGTGGCAATAGAAACTATAGAGGTGGTCAGAACATAAACTACAATGGTGGAAGGTATAATAATAGATTCAATGGAGGACGGTTTAATAATCGAGGCAACTTTAATGATGGTTACATTCCCTTTCAAGACCACAATTCCAACTACAATGGTGCTGGATTTTATCATCAAGGAGGATATAACAGTGGTGGTTTTCCAGCTGGATACAATGCTCACGGAGGATATAACAGTGGCTTTCAAGGAGGATACAATGGTGCTGGATTTTACAATCCCTGTCCCTCAAATGTGTGTAGAGGATATCAACTAGACAGCTATATTGTAGGCTACAACAGTTCTGCTCAGTCCTTTAATCCATCTGGATTCCCTCCTTCAGCACCACCACCTCCACAATACATTGTTCCCCCAAATCCTAGTCAAGGCATTCTTGGCTCTCCAACCACATCTGTCACCTCCCCTCTACAGGCTTTTCAATTGTGCAATGATCCTACACACACAGCAGCCTCTTGTCCTCAATTCCAACATGTGAAGAATCAAGCTCAAGCCTACACTGCATCATCCTCTTTTCAATTTGCTGATCCCAATGTTTGGTTGGCAGACAGTGAGGCTACACACCACGTTACCAATGACCTTGGAAATTTGAACTCAGCCAAGCCTTGCACTTCCAAAGAAGGTATTACTGTGGGTAATGGGGCTAGCTTATCTGTTATTAATGCTGGTACTGCCTTCCTTAATTGTTGTGGCACTTCCTTTAAGTTAGCCAATGTTCTGCATGTTCCCAAAATAGCACAGAATTTACTTTCTGTCTATCAATTTTGCCTTGAAAACAAGTGTCAAATGCTTTTTGATGCATTTTACTTCCTAATTCAGGACAAATTAGGGAGGATCCTATACAAGGGTCTCAGCAGTGATGGACTCTATCCAGTGCCACTAAAGTCAAAATTGTTTACTTCACAAGGAAGGGCGGTTGCTTATCTTGGAAAAAAAGTGAACTCTTCATTATGGCATAAGAGGCTTGGTCATCCAGCCAATGAGGTGCTTGTTCATATGTTAACTAAAAGCCATGAATCTTGTCACATAGATCATGAGCCTTCTGTTTGTCAGTCCTGTTTAGAAGGAAAGATGAGTAGGTTGCCATTTTCTTTGTCAGAAACTAGGAGTTTAAAAGCTTTTCATAAAATACATTCAGATGTATGGGGTCCAAGTCCATGTACCTCTATCTCCGGATATACATATTATGTCATCTTTGTTGATGATTGTACAAGATATACATGGGTTTATCCTTTGATTAATAAATCTGATGTGTTTGGTATCTTTGTCAAGTTTTATGCTTATATTTCCACCTTCTTTAATAAGCATATCAAAATCTTTCAAAGTGATGGTGGTGGCGAGTTTGTGAACACAGCTATGAGAGATTTTTTGGCCAAACATGGGATTCTTCATTATAAATCTTGTCCTCACACCCCTCAGCAGAATGGATTAGCTGAGCGGAAGCATAGGCATCTTGTAGACACTGCCTTGACTCTACTGTCGACAGCCTTTATGCCACTGAAATTCTGGTTTCATGCTGTCTCTACAGCTAATTTTCTTATAAATAGGATGTGTACCAAAGTGTTGAACTGGGATTCTCCGTACAGCAAGTTATTTGGTGTTTCTCCTTAGTTGTAAGCTTTACAAGTATTTGGTTGTGCCCGCTATCCCTATCTCAGACCCTATCAACCTCATAAGCTACACTTCAGATCATCTCAATGTGTCTTTGTTGGTTACACCTTGGATTACAAGGGTTATTTGTGTTTTCACATTTCCACCTCCAGGTTGTACATTTCCAGGCATGTAATCTTTGATGAGAATGTCTTCCCTTTTGCTACAATCAAGGTTAACACTGTCCATCCCCTCACTATGCCATTTTCTTCTTCCGTCACTCCTTTATATACTTCTCCAATAAGAGCTGACCTGCCTCCAACAATTACTGCTTCTCTTCATGATCATGGTGAAAATATTAGTGATAGTGGTGGTACAACCGGTAATGCCGAAATTGGTATTAATGAAAATGGTGGTGTAAGTGCTAGTGCAGGTCATGGTATTGATGGGGCAAGTGTCAATCCATATAATGGAAATGATGACCATGGTGTTGGCATTGGTAACAGTGGTGTTGATGAAGGGAATACACACGTAGGAAGTAATGACAATTGTCACAATGTTGTTGATAATGGTATTTTCATCCCTGTGGAACTTCCATTGACCATTCCACATGCTGATACAAGTAGTAATTCTTTTCTTGCAACCACTTCTAATGTGCATTCTATGATTACAAGGTCTAAGGTTGGGGTGTCCAAGAAGAAGAAAGCCTTTGATGCCTCCAAGAAAGTGTTCTCTGTGATCTCAAGCTCCAAGGATGATACAATCCAAGAGCCTAACACTTACAAACAGGCTCTGCAAAGCCCTGCGTGGTTTGCTGCAATGAAAGAGGAGTTTGATGCCCTGCATAAACAAAAGACATGGTCTTTAGTTCCTTTCTCACAGAACAGTGGTAGGATGCAAGTGGGTTTTTAAAGTAAAAAAGAATGCAGATGGATCAGTTGCAAGGTTTAAGGCTCGTTTAGTTGCAAAAGGATACCACCAAGAAGAAGGAATAGATTACACAGAGACCTTTAGTCCTGTTGTCAAGCACGCCACAGTCAGATTAATTCTGGCTTTGGCTACTCAATTCACGTGGAAACTGAAACAATTAGATGTCAAAAATGCATTTTTGAATGGTATACTCACAGAGGAGGTGTATATGGATCAACCACCTGGATTTGTTGACCAAGGCTCTCCTCGAATGGTTTGCAGGTTACATAAGTCATTATACGGTCTCAAACAGGCTCCTAGGGCATGGAATGAGAGATTTTCTACTCATTTGATTCATCTTGGTTTCACTCAGTCTTTTTCAGATCCAGCTCTCTTCATTTACAATAAAGGTTCTGTCTTGATGCTTTTATTGCTCTATGTAGATGATATTATTCTCACAGGAAACAATCAAGCTGCAATTGACAAGTTGATTCTTACTCTTAGTGCTGAATTTGACATGAAGGATCTAGGAGAGTTGTCTTATTTTCTGGGACTACAAATTCAACATACTTCCTCAGGCTTGTTTGTCAATCAGGCTAAATATGCTTCAGAGTTACTTGCTAAGATGAACATGTAGACTTGTGCCACTGTCCCTACTCCAATGCTACCAGGAACAAAACTTTACAAGAATGATGGTGAGTTGTTGGACAATCCTTCTCTTTATAGAAGTATTGTCGGAGCTCTTCAGTATCTTACTTTTAGCAGACCAGACATAGCATATGCAGTTAATTATGCTTGTCAGTTCTTGCAACAACCTACGACTACACATCTCATTGCAGTCAAAAGAATTTTGAGATATATACAAGGCACTCTTGACTATGGGATTCAGTTTACTTCAGGATTCCTAGAGTTACAGGCCTACACAGATGCTGATTGGGCAGGTGACCCTAATGATCGCAGATCAACATCAGGTTATGTAGTCTTATTAGGGAGAAATCCCATTTCTTGGGGAGCAAAGAAACAAACGACAGTATCCAGGTCTTCCACAGAAGCAGAGTATCGATCTCTTGCAAATTCAGCGTGTGAGTTGGTTTGGCTCAAACAGTTATTGCAGGAAATCCACATCACTCTTCATAAACCACCAGTTATCTGGTGCGACAATATTTCTGCGATTACTCTTGCTCATAATCCAGTCTTTCATAGTAAGACTCGACATATGGAAATTGATGTTCATTTCGTTCGAGAGAGAGTTCAAAGGAAGGAAATGCAAGTCTGTCATCTCTCTAGTACTGAGCAACTTGGAGATATTCTGACCAAAAGCTTAGCTGCTCCTCAGTTTCAATATCTGCGCAACAACCTCATGCTTGGTAAACCTCGCATGAGTTTGCAGGGGGTAATAGCTGACCAGCCACGTCAACAATAGTTTGGGGTTAATTATTGTTTTATTATTAGTTAGCTGTCATTGAGTTACTATAAATAGCACCTCCCTCTTGTAATCACTGAGATCAATAACATAATCTGATTCTATTTCATTTCTCTTTAATCTTTCTTCTCTGGTTTCTCTCACTCACAAATTCTAGCTTTCCTATGATTTAAGTACACCCTAATATTTAAATCAAAATGTAAAATTAACTAAGTACGCCATATTTAACTACCAAAAATACCCCTAGTATACCCTAATACACTCTATCACATAACACCTTAATATCAATCTAGATTTCTCTTTTTACATGAATTCGTAAGCTACATCAAAATCTTTAATTTTGTAAGGTGTCGTGGGAGTAGATTTGCTAACTCATTCAATTCAAAGCTTGATTCTTGTACATCCTTGTGATTTTCTTTATTTATTTTTTATTTTTGAATTGAACTTGTTGCCCTCCAAACCACCCCATCCTCCTCAAAATCCCATATAAATAGAGAAAACCCACCTCTAAAATCTCAAAATCCTGAAATTGAAACCAACCCATCTCCACCAAAACCCTATACAAATGCTGAAGGACACAATTTGCCCCTAAATCATGTAATTAAGGGCTTCCTCTTAGCCATTGTGATTGGTGTCCTTAGTTATAGTTAGTTAGCACATCCACCCAAAGCTCGTCTTCATTGCTTGTACATATACCTTCTTCTGGAAATCTAACTAATCATTGTAGCAACCCTCGCTTGGAGCCTTTTTGGTTTAGATATCAAATCCCATTTCAACGAGGCATACCTTTCCACTTCTGTGCAAAACTTCTAGGGCAGAAGATGGAACCTCGTGGTTGCCTATATCTTACGCTCATCTGTATACAAACCCAAAAGGAGAAGAGAAATGCCAATTTTTAAGAAGGGTGGTGAGGGTACATAATGGGATAATAGGTTAAAGCGGTGAGTAAAAATGCTCCTTTGATTATGGTTGAATTTCGTGAGTGGTGTATTTATTAAAATTATATTTCGTGAGTGGCGAATTCCTACACGATCCTAGAGTTCCTAGATCAGCATATGTAAATGGAGTCGATCCAACAGTCTGAACATATCGAACCCGGATATCGCCTAACATGTAAAAATCCGTTCGATAGTCAAAAGATAACCAAATTCAAATCCGAGCATACCGTCATGCTCAGGACGACATGGGGATCATTTTAGAGCCAAATGGACAACCCAAACTTGGCCCACGCGCCGCCACAAGCGACAGCAACGCGTGAGTGGCTTGAGAAAATTATGTTGACCGGAAAATTCTCAAAATACCCAACAATACCTATACCTACGTGATCAGGACAACTAGTAGAGCAACTTTTGTTCTTGGGCCACGGCCAAAAAGTGGCCAAAACTTGCCGAAAATTCGAGCCGAAAACATACAAAAACTTTAAGTCATAAATCGAACCTCAAAACTCCAAAATCAATCCTAACCAACCCAATCATTAGCTAAGTCACGTTAAAATGATGAGAATGCATACATGGATGGACAAATTTGGTGGCCAAAATCATCGAAAAGTTTCGAAGAAATCCCATAATTTTGAGCTATTTCCAGCGGCACAAGAGGCAGTTGCGGCGGAGAAGGGGTGGGTCAGAGAGAGGAGGTTGAGCTAGTTCTAACGCAAGTGGTCTCGTGGCCAATGGTGGCCTGAAAGGGAGTTGTAGTCGGCCAAAGATCTGGTGTCTGTTTTGCGCGAGAGAGAGAGAGAGTGTGAGATCGCGGGAGAGAGAAAGAGAGAAATTTGGGTTTTTAAAAAATATGACTTTAAAATATTTACGGTTGTGCCACTACACTTCCGTTGATTGTAACTTCTTTGTTAAAACTCCGATTTGAGCCCACTATGTGTCTACGAATTAGTATCGACTCGCTCTATACTAAAATCCCCAAATTCTTTCTCGAACAAAAAGTCAACTTTAAACCTATTAAAATACTCTCATGGTAAAGTTGTCTTTTACTTGAATAATTTAAGAATTAATTATTAATTTAGGATCATGTTATCACAATCTACCCCCTTATAAAAATTTCATCCTCAAAATTTCATACCTGTCACTCAAAGAGGTAAGGATATTGAGCCCGCATCTGCTCCTTGGGTTCCCAATTGGCCTCCTCCACTGTGTGACTCCTCAACAGAACTTTCACAAGTAGGATTTCTCTAGAACGTAGTACTTGTATCTTCCAGTCCAAAATCTAAACGGGTTGCTCCACATAACTCAAATCATCCTTCAATTCTATTGGTTGCGATTCCAAAACATGGGAAGGATTTGAAACGTACTTTTGGAGCATGGATACGTGGAATACGTCATGTAACCGAGAAAGTTCTGAAGGTAATGCAATTTTATACGCCACTGGGCCCACACGCTCCAAGATTTCATATGACCCAATGTAACGAGGGCTGAACTTTCCCTGCTTCCCAAATCTCACTACACCTTTCTAAGGCAACAACTTTACGAATACCCAGTCACCAACTTCAAACTGAAAATCCTTTCTTCTGATGTCTGCATAGCTCTTCTGTCGGTCTTGTACAAAAGTGAAAGTTATCAATATAAAGTAATATTTAACAAAATTGAAATCTAACCTTAAAATAATCTTGCCATACTTCTTCAGTAGCTGTGAATTTCTTTGAGACGGAATCCCACTCAAATCCAGAATTATGACTCATAAACTGAGTAAAACTATGATATCTTGTCTTAAATCACTTCTAAGGGCTCTGGTATTGAAGATAAGTTTCTTGGCATCCAAGTTTTCCACTAAGAACATTGAGTATCTTGCTTTCTACTATTTGCTTGCTTAGCAAACCATTAGAATCGTGCCATCCACAGTGGGCATCATCAACCATTAGTTCTAACAGCATACTGCTCTCTTTCGAACTCCATGGGTTATAAGGTGTTTTTCCTTTTTCTTATTATGAATCTCCCATTTATAGTGTTACTAGATAATACATGCAATTTTTAATTACTTCATAAGAAATATATATATATAAAGATTATTTTTTTTCTTTCGTTTTGGCGTGGAATATATATGTATATATATATATATATATACAAAGAGCTTTCATTAAGGGATCCCTCAAATTTGAGGGACACCTCTTGTAGGCCTCACTCCAGATTGTATTTCACTAATCCAAACCGTCTATTTTGTAGATACTCATTCAAAGATCATCTCTACAAAAAATCACTTGAATCCGATATCATTTGACCACTCAATTGAGTTATTGAAATTTTAGTACTTTCTTGAAGCA